GGGGCGTGAGCCCCCCCCCCCCACCTCCGACACGGTGAAAGCAGGGGAAGACCTTGGTTTTGTGGATTTGGAACGAGAGACTTCACTGACACTGGGTGATGATGAAAGCTCTTTGCGTTGCGCTTTGCTGCCTGCAGCCACGGAAGGATGGCTGTCACCACATGATTTCTTTGAAGAGTGTTACGGCAATGTTGGCGTGTGAATGCCAAGTGGAAAAAAAAAAGATAGTGGATCCCCCTCACTATGGGATGGGGAGACTTGGGGCAAGACAGAACTTGCCCGTCAGCCTGGTCTGAGAAGACTTCCGGGAACCCGGTTTCTCCTGTTGCCCTCTGGTCCTCCCAAGCCACAGCGACGTGTCACCGAGGAGCTCAGACCACCTGCGGGAAGAAACCGAAAATAGCATCACTGTCTTGGAACTTGGGAAGGTGTATCTCAAGGCCAGGTGCTCGGTTTCTGACTGCTCTCGTTTTCTAAAGCATGGATTCTGCTGGACAGGGACCCGGTGGTGGGATTATTTCCTTTGTTAAGTTAACCGCTGTCTTTATTTAAAGGTTATTTGTTACAGGATGTTGCTTTGTAGACTAAAAATTACAGTTCTATGAATTAACATGATGTTGCATAGTTCTAGTTAATATTGTATATATGTATATATTTGTACATATATATAATATTTATAAAAAATACAAATATGTGCACCCCCTGTGTATGAAATGAGTATTTCGTCAGCTATTAATTGAATGGTACTTGTTAGGCTCAAAGGAAAGTATGAAAAAATGTTCAAAACATGATATAAAAGTTGACGTAAAAGTATATTAAATAGAAAAAAGCATAATGTTTTCTAATCATAAAGGAAATACATCATGCATCAGAGAGGGGAGCATACTTTAGTATAACATTATATAAGACATATATATGACTATATATTACACAGATACAGATATTGAGGTATGTGTGGTGGAAGGGTTCTTTCAATATTACAAAGAATTTCTTAAAAACAGGACAATACTGCTGTGTCTTTATAAGTAACAAAATAACTCTTCAACAGAAGTAGATTTTAAAGTTCAATCTAAGTTGAATCTCAAGTTTTATTGAGAATGTTATTTATTCAAAGAAAGCAACTACCTCTCTTTGAAGAAATAATATCAATAAAATTGAATGTTACAGTCAGTACAGGAAAGTAGCCTAGGATTTCTGAATGTTTAATGAGGCTTACAAGTGAAGGTTCTTCCCTTGTACTTTATTTCCCTTTCATTTCATGGCAACCTCATTTCAGTCCTGGAATGATGAAGCCATGTAGCACATCCAGTGGATGGGGATGAATTACACTTATCTCACTGAGGGGTTATTACCTTCGGCCAGCTTTGGAGGAGCTGAATTAAGCGTGCTGATGGCTGTCAAGTCTAACAGTAACTCTGCTAGTCAATTCCTGTCAGACACGACCCTAAACAGTGTTTTTTCATGGGTGTGAGCTAGAAAGAAAATGGCTGAAGCTAATCATGTCTTGTAGCTACCTCTTAGGTCAATGGTCAGAGTTCCTACTCTTAACTAACCTGGTTTGTAAGTACATTTGCATTGTATAAGGCTGTATAGTTGCACGTTCTGAATTCTGGCTCTGTTCAAATTACTTTTTTTCCTGCCTTGAAGTGAATTCTTCTTTGCACTTATATTTAATTTTTCAGTTATCTTTTCTGAAGCTGCCTTTGCAAAGTTGTCATTACATAGCCCTGGTCATGCTGTTGCAACCAGCTGTGTATGGCTGTTACTTGTTGTCACTGCTTTCACTAAGCAGGGGCTGAGTGACTTTTCCCACTTTCCGCACGGAGGACTGAGCCCCGTCCCACTGGTGTTACTGGGAGCTTTGCCGTCGGCTCGAACCATATGGACGGTTCCCTCCTCCTCTAGGCCAGCTAATAGCTTTTCAGTGAGAAAGTTTCAAGAATAGTTATTATTTTTCTTAGTACTGCCAAGTAACATGTTTTGCTGACATGTACAGAGGTCAGTTCTTCAGGTATTAAAAAGTCAAGGCAAAGAGTTTCTGTTGGGCTACACACCAGCTCCCAGGCTAACTCCACGTCTAACTCTGCAAAGCTGTTTGTCAAAGACAGCCCTAACTTCTGCTGTATGTCCTGGGCTTGGTGGAGTCCTCATCAAGGATACTAAACAATGATCATGCCTGTCGGGAACTCTTGGGAAAATTTGGCATTAGTATTCGCATTACTTGCTGAAATGTATTTGAATAAAAGTGTTCTGCTCCGTGTACGCTGCGTTGGAATTCAGTAGGAGAAAAGGTGCGGGCTTCACAGAGTCTGCCCAGTTCTTCTGGCTGCAGCACAAATGACTGTTATGAAAAAAGCATTCACTAAAATGCATTGTCATGGGGATATCTGAGTTAAGTATTAACACAGTATTTTTCTGTCTAGACTATTTGCTTTTTGTGAAACGTTTGTGTGTTTCTCTGAGCGTTGTCAACAGTGCTAGCTGTTCACCAGGAGCTCAGGGAAAAAAGACCTAGATCCAAGTGGTCGGTGCCAGTATATGAGCAAGCGCTTGGTGATGTTCTCCCTAAGATTCCTTTTGTTACTTCTGCAAAAGATCTGATGTATGACTGTATCAACACAAGTTTGTTTTTCTTAAGACCTATTCTGGATACAGGCCAGATGGTTCGCTGTATAAGCCATGCATGTATGTCTTGACTTATTGCTAAGATAATAAAAGCAAAGCGTTCGCAAAAAAAATTAGTCGTTGTTATAACTTGGGTTTCTTGGTTTGGGGTGGGTTTTTTGTGGATTCTGAAAGCGTGGTTGTATTATAGAAAATCCTTGCATGTTTCTAAACCAGCAGGCACACAGTAGGGCAACAGCAGAGTGCCAGTCGGTATGCATTGGGATATGAGGGTTTTACTTTTGCCTTTAAGAGGAACAATAACCATATCCTTGAACTTCAAAATGGGAAACCGAGACACCTCTTCCCATATTTTCTAGTAACTACTGCCCATAGAATAATTGCGTGGTGTCAGGGGTCTGCTCTACCAGCAGCTTCAAGGAAGAAAGTTCCTGGGGAACAGTGAAGGACAGACGTCCGAATTGAGGGTTTTTTCTCAGACACAGGCAGAAAGGAACACACTGTTTCACCAACATCAGATTTTTACTTTCTCCAAAGTTTGAAGCTGGAGTTTTGGGAAAGGGGGAATACTGCTTACTGCAAGGGAATTGTGAAAGGGATAGTGCAGAACTTATTCTTCCTCCCTAAAGCTGGGACCCAAAGATGTGTCTGTGGAGGGGAGAGCCTGAAATCCTCACCTGCTGTGCCCTGCACATCAGCAGGCTTTGCGCTGACTCACCTTGCTGCTTCTCCCCAGCTCCATGGGCAGGGAGTGTCATGCCTGGGACACGTGTTCGCAGCACCAGGAGGACTAAGAGCTTCCTGCCCAAAGGCTCTGGTTTCTCGTAAATGAAACTAACCAAACGGGAAACAGTTCCCTATCTTTTCCCAGTTAGCCATGAAGTAGAGGCTTGCCAAGAGCTTTACTTCAGGGGGCATCAATGATGTGGTCCTGAGAAGGCCCATGAGCCTGGTGCCAAGCTGTGCCACAGGTGCACAGCTCCACCATCAAACGACACTTCCAAGACTCACCAGCCTTGTGAAAACATCCAGACAACCTCACCCTCTGCCCAATGGAGCCTGGCTCTTCTCCAGCCAGGTGACCACCAGAGCACGGTGCTTGTGACCTGCTCCTGCCTAAAGGGCAAGGGGAAAAAAATATAATCCTATCACTGGGGCATGGCACGGCTGTCTGAAGGCACCTGACTCACGCGCGAGCACCTGATGTCAGAAAAACAAGCCAAACCCACCTGCCCAAGCAAACCACTGGAGCTGCTGCCCCGTCACACTCTGTGTTAGCCACGGCCTGTGGGCACCAACGACTGTGCTCGCCCGGGCGAAAACCAGCCCGGCACCCTCACCTGAGGCTGGATGCACCAGAGGCATTTCCCAAACAAATTGCTAGACAACAGGCAACACCTCCCTCCCCCCCTCCCCGCCACGGCAGGTTTCCGTAAGCCATCTGAAAAACAATGTCTCATCGGCTGCTCATTATTTTTAGCGCACGCCAGTGGATGGGACTAATTTTATCACTTTCCTCCTGTCGACACAAGATGGTACGAGGGCGTGACGTGTGTCCGTCGAGGTGCGCGGGGGGTGGACAGGAAGGGCAGGGGATGTGATGTGTTGTCTTTCGGTCTGGCAGGGTTTTCCACGAAGGAGGTGACTGTCTGGCGGCGGGGCTGCCGGCGAGAGATAGTCCCAAAAGCTGCTGCAGCTGTAAACAAGGGGCCTTACCCGTGTGCGTCACTGCATTGTCTGGACCATGGCATAAGAGACGGGCCACGCCAAGGCTGCCCTCCCTCCTCACCCATGGTCTCTTTGCAATGCAAATCGCACCAGTCTGCGAGCCCAACAAAAGCGTGGAGGCAGGTGTCACTCCTTTAGCAACAGGAGATGTCCCATGAAATGGCAGTGCCCTCAAATAAAACCGTTTAAGCCATTTTGTCTCACAGGGGCTTTGGTGTCATCCCTCCCTCCCCATCAAAGGACACCAGGAGCACCGCTTGTCCCAGCTCCTCCGGTTCCTATGTGGCGCTGCCACCACTTGAAGGGCCAAGGCACATTCTGCAGGGGACAGGCCAGCTTCCAAACCTAAAAAAAAAAGTTGTTACTTTCAGCAGCACCGAATAAGGCTGGTGATGAGTCCTTAGAGCTGGTGTCAGGATGCTGGCACCCCTGTGCTACCACCATGACACCCACCGGGGGGTGGCTCAGAGCAGAGGATGACTCTGGGATGGTGCCCATCACCGGGCTTTTGTGCCTTTGGGGTTTTGCCTGCATTATCATGCTCTGCCCGGGTCAAGGTACCATATTTGCACCTCCTCTCCCAGCTCCGGGATCCGAGCCAAGATCACAGCCACCTTTGCAGCAATTAAGGGCAGGTTTCTGTTTGCACTTTCCCCTTCACACTCCTGAAAGGGATGCAACCGAGCTGTGACAATCGCACCAGGCCACAGCCAGGTGCCTCCTGCCCAGGAATTGAGAGTTTGGGAGGTAATTTTTGATGACAGCAGCCGAGCTGTGCCGCCGCGGCACGGGCAGCATGTCAAGGAAATGTTTTTGCTGGACAGGGAAAAATCCAAAGGACTAAAACGCCAGGTAACTTGTTTGCTCAGTGCAGAGATATCAGACTGATTCAGCTGCAGAGCGAGGTGAGGCCAGCACGTACGGGACTACCAACGGGAAGGCAAAAAGCCCGTGGTTTGAGTGTTGGCTAACTTCAGAAAACACCCTGGTTGCTGGAAAACATCCTTCTAAGTCACAGCTTTACGCACTGCTGGGTGGAAGGGCAACTCCTTGTTTTGGGGAAGGATGTTTATTTGCATCAAGTGTTCTTTCTTGTGATCATTTAATGAGAAGGATTTTGCATTTTTTAAAAGGAAAAAAAAAAAAAAGCTTTATAAGTTATTGCAGTCACCATTACTTTGTGAAGTCTTTTAGCTGAGTAAAGTGCGTTGAGGAGCACAACTACATGGAAAGAGCAAGATGTGGCCGGCTTTTTCCCTTAAAGGCAAAGTCAGAAATGGAGTTTTGCTAAGGGCCAGCGATGAGCGTCTCGTTTCAGCCATAAAAGGAGAAATGACCCAATCTTCTTTACCAGAAGGAGTGGGGATCAGGCCTAGATAAGGCAGCATCGCTTGCTCTTCAGGCATTTATTGATACCAGGGTGCTGGACGCAGGGTGGAGGTGCTGTGTGAGTGTTTATACGACCCAATATTGCATAGTAAATAAATAAAAAAACAACCAAAAAAACCCCACAAAACCGCTGATGAAAGCTTTGAATCTCCCAGGCCAGGGCAAGGGGAGGATGAGGTGGGTGGACATGCCCCCTCGCAGCAATGTCTGGCTCTGGGGCAGCGGGAAGTGCAGCTCAGGGTCATGGCTTGGGGAGGTTTTGCTTCCCCTTGTCATCACAGTCACACGTGTGGTGCCCGGCCACCGCACACCCTGCTCCTGACCTGTCAATGGCTCTGGGGAGGGCCACCGGGAACCTCTCCCCACCAAGCCCCGGGGAGGGCGTTCATACCACCCCTGCGTGGGGACACAGAGGGTGACCACCAGTCTTCCACCAAATGTGATAAAAGTGGCAGTTTTGACACATCCCAGGAAATATAGATGAGGTTTTGGAGCCATAAACTGCTGCACCAGAGACACGTGGACCCTATTTGGGCATTAAGTTGTGTTGAGTGATGCCAACAGGAAAGAGGAGAGCAGCAAAGAAATAGAAAATGAGAAACCTTTCAGATAGAATGACAAACCTGATTGCAAACAACAAAATAGGTGTTTCTACTCATCTCATTTCTCTACTCATGAGCTCTGTATGTTAATGATAAGGGAATAAAAAAAAAACAAACGTGCCCGAAACTGCAGACTTCTCTTCCTTTTGTGCCAAGTTCCTCATTTGCCAGTGCTTCAAGGTCTTTGGAAAAAGCCCAGCCCCCCGAAGGACAAACAAGGCAGGTAAAACTTAAATGTAATTTTCTACCACTTCCCACATCTTAGTGGATAAATGAAGTCACATGTACAAACTAAATTATGGCTTTATGGGTGTAAGTCCATTGTGTCTTCTCTCTTTTGCATTCCTCTTCACTTAGCCACTGCCTGGGGCAATTAAGATTTTAAAGATGTTAAAGATTGATTTTACAAGAGCCAGGCTGCTCTCAGGCTTGAGCCCTGTTGAGCCCCAGCTCCACCATGTGTTAGATGGAAGTGGGAGGAGGACAGACAGGAGGATGGATACAGGGGAGTCTCTGGAAGAGGGGCTGGGCTGTCCCAGCACTGAGGACATCAGAGGAGGTGAGAAAGCAGAGATCTTCATGGCTAAAAATCAGAATCTTGGAATGATACAGGGTTGGAAGGGACTTCTGGAGATCATCTGGCCCAGCCCCCCTGCCAAAGCAGGTTCACCTAGAGCAGGTGGCACAGGAACATGTCTGGGCAGGTTTTGAATGTCTCCAGACTCAGAGACTCCACCACCTCCCTGGGCAGCCTGTTCTAGTGCTCAAAGTAAAAAAGTTCCTCCTCATGCTTAGGTGGAACTTCTTATATTCAATTTTGTGCCCATTCTCTCTTGTCCTATCCCTGGGCACTACTGAAAAATGAACGGCCCCATCCTCTTGACACCCACCCTTTAAGTATTTATAGGCATTGATCAGATCCCCCCTCAGCCTCCTCTTCTCCAGACTAAAAAGATCCAAGTCCCTCAGCCTCTCCTTGTAAGAGAGATGCTCCAAGGCCCCTCATCATCTGTCTTTGCTATTCCCCATGGAGTGCCGGGGGAGAAGTCAGGCTCCATCCAGGGACAGACATGCCAGAGAAAACTCGAGGGGGCTGCTCCACACCTCCCCGTCCACCCCTTTCCCACGTTACTGGTTTTATGCACCATCTCATCTGTGCAACACGCTCCATGGTGTCCCTCATCACGGCTGTGGGCAAGGGAGAGAGGGACGTGGGAGAAAGGGGTCCCAACGCAGAGGAGGGGAACCGAGGTACCAGAAAAGTCCTCCTTTTTCCCCGGGAAAGGTCCCTGGTGGCGCGGGGCAGGCCGGGAGCCCGAGGTGATTCAGCAGAAGGGCCGGGGCTTTTCCCTCCTCACGTGACTCTTGCTCACGGGCACCCTCCTGGCACCGCA